AATAAGTTTGTTTGGCTGCAGTGAGAGTTTTTTAGGCAGTGTGGATCCACATGGCCTGCTCCTCATCATCTCTTCTGTAAGGCATGACATCAACAAAACATCTCAGGACATGATTAGATCATCTCTGTAAACAAGAGCGGTTCTGAGCCCTCCAAATCACATCCAGATGCTTGAGGACACCCACAGAGATTACACTCCTAATGGAGATTACTGGAGGTCACATACACATTCATATGACAATCTACTTTCTTCTCAGTAAGCGGAAGCTGAGAAGATTGAGCACACCTTTCTGATGAAGGCCTTTTTTCTCATAGAGGATGATGAGTTCGCTGTATTTGTGGGCTTTCTTCAGCACATACTCGCTCTCCTCTATGTGACAGTGGTTGTTCTCCAGCCGCAGGAGAGGCGACACTAAGGCTACATTGGTCTGTGGTTTAAAAAAAGAAACATTCTTAAAATCGAGATAAACTGGCTATAGTGATTTGCTATCATCGTTCTTCACTGTATTTTCAATTTCGGTTTGAATCAACAATGGCTGTTAATCAAGGCTCCATTTCAGTTAACATGCTGTCTGCACTTTGCAGAACAGAGCTACTGAGAACAATCGGAAGGCCTTACGTGGAGGTAACATTTCAGCAGAGTGGTGTCGATGATCTGAAGGAGCTTCTTGCGGCTCTTGATGGTGGGGGTCCCCTCCATGGGAGGGGAGGGGGTGAAGGGGTCCGAGTCATTCAGCTGCTTCACTAAATGACTGCGTTTCTATCACAAAAGATGCAGAGAAGACTGTAACAAGATGAAAAGAAGTTTAAAAGCACTCCGTATGAAATTGATGAATCGTGAATACCGGTGTCAGGTAGTCTATGAGGGCCAGGTGGGCTTTCTCCAGCTCGGCTCCAGACAGCACAGGCAGAGGGTTGGGGTAGTGCAGCTGTTTGCGGTAGTCAGAGGGGAGCAGGTCTGGATACAGTCCAATAACATGAGTGGGATCTATATAAGAGAAGAGTCAATGGGGTTTTTTGACTGGGTTTTAGGTTAAATGTCTGAAATCAGGTCTGTGGTGAACAAGCTCAGGATACTTTCACATTTTTCTACCATATAAAATATATCAGTTACACCAACTTGCGATCTTTTTTAATGTTTTACTTGAAAAATGAGTTTGCTAACAAGTGTCTAAATGGGACTATAGAGGTTGTGGAACAGATAAACTCATCTACTCACTAGTCACAGTCTCGTTGTGTTTATAATGCCTTACTACTCTAACGCCAACTTTCAGTGATGATGGTTTTTTAAATATCGTTTGGAAGCGTAATGGTGGTGATGCTAAAGTCATGTATAGCCTGTTTGGCTTTTTCAATGAGTTTTTTTGACTGGGTTTTAGGTTAAATGTCTGAAATCAGGTCTGTGGTGAACAAGCTCAGGATACTTTCACATTTTTCTACCATATAAAATATATCAGTTACACCAACTTGCGATCTTTTTTTTAATGTTTTACTTGAAAAATGAGTTTGCTAACAAGTGTCTAAATGGGACTATAGAGGTTGTGGAACAGATAAACTCATCTACTCACTAGTCACAGTCTCGTTGTGTTTATAATGCCTTACTACTCTAACGCCAACTTTCAGTGATGATGGTTTTTTAAATATCGTTTGGAAGCGTAATGGTGGTGATGCTAAAGTCATGTATAGCCTGTTTGGCTTTTTACTTTTGGAGATTGTATTTAGGCTTCTAAATTCACAAAAGTCGTGTTCATTTGTGAAGACTATCACATGTAAGAATCATACATTTTTATTGGTCACGACACAAACTCAATTTAGAAGCCAATGCAAAAAAAAATCCTATAGGGTTTTTGTTGAAGGAACCAGGGTTGGCCTACAAAAATACCTCATCACTGCAGAACTCTATTGTGCATACATCTTTCTTTCCTGGTCCAATGGCACTCTCTAGTGGGCTAAATTAAGCAACCAGACAACAAGACCGCAGACCATCTGATCTATAGTGCACACAAAAATGAAAAGACCTTTCCAAAACGCCAGTCTGATTGATTGGTATTTAAACCAGTTGGTTGCCCACCAGAAAGTTTCTCTCAAATACTTAATCAATGAAAAAATACAACTCAAATCAATTACTTATTTGGCAAGTTACTCAACCCCCCCATTTTGATTTTATTTAATCATATTTTCAAAATGCATTTATTCAAATTGCTTAGAATTAATTTAGTTAAATAGTATGAGCATGTTTAAAATGTGGCCAGCTGTGGAACAAGCAATACCAATTTTTTTTTTAATGCATGAGATTGAAATAAATTGGATTTATTGATGTAAAACAGAATATTTTAAAGGTTTATATTACAGAAATCTTACATTTTATGTTAAAGATGTGTAACCCAAACGTACTGAAATTTTATATGCATTTATGTCTTTATTTTTATTTAAAAAAAATGTGTGCAATGCATCACACACCGGACACGTCCGTCTTTCCGTACTTGTGGTGCATCATCACTGCTGTATGAACTCACCTGTGCCTAACTTTGCAAACACCTGCATGGAGTCGTCAAAGCGTTTCTGACAGAACAAGTTGAAGGCAAACAGGTTCTGAATGTGATGGATCTGTTGTCTCTTGTCTGCATCTGAATCATCCTTCATTATCTGAGGAAAGACGAGACAAAAACAAGCTCAGCATATGATAACACTGTGTACTTTGCATTTAGTATTTACTGGATGTGAAAAAGTTTCTCACCGCTAGCTGAAGTGCCAGTTCAAACTGTTTGTCCTGTAGCAGCTGTCGTATCTGGCTGGCTATAGAGATGGGCACCAGACGCCAAACAAAGTGATTGCTAGCGACATACACAACATTCGATCTGTGAAATTACAGAGGGACAGAAAGAACAGAGTCAGATCACCTTTCACAGCAATTTAAGGAAAACATGCCTTAAACATTAGAGCAAAAATAACTAAAGTTGGGGTATGAGCAAATGTCACGAAACTGTCAAGATGATGAGCAAATAACTTTAATAAACATCATCTTCTCAAATAGGATGCATCTGCATTCTGCAGGTGTTTCAGTGGATTATAGGTAAATATCTGCTTCAGTGAACACAAGCGGGAACTGATTCAGACTTTTTTGCTAACCTGTTTGACCAACCCATGAAAAAAACAGATTGATCGACAAATAGGACATTACTAGTTTTAAACAAATGACAGAAAAAACTGGAAAACATGACTAATGAAATCGCTTTAATAGACAGGTCTCACCCAGCGGAGGTGATGAAGCGCGGTCTCTGCAGTTCTACGCTCTGCACCAGCAGTCTGGGCTCAAGCGTGCGGATCTCCACGTAGCGTGGCAGCACTGCAATGATGTACGGTGGTTGGTGCTCTAATCAACAGACATGTGGAAATAGACTCAGAAATGACTTGAAAAATCAGTAGAATGGATTTAAGAATGGTCAAATGTGTTAGACAGTACCATACTCTCTAATTGCTAGCTGAAAGTTTAATAAATAAGAGGAAACATTTAAAAAGCAGCCATGCAAAGAGCAGAGGATTTGATGAATTTTGCATGTTGGGTGTTCTTAAGTCTGTGGAAATCTGTAGGTTTTTCTCCTGAGTTCTGCAGGCACAGAACAGCTCTTGCATTCATTCATTTCCATGACTCAGTTCGAATTCATTGTAACGACTCGATTTGTTTGTATCATCACTCAGAAAAGGTCTGTGGAAGTTTTCAGAATGTTTTAATGAAAATACATGTAGGTAAATATAGCTGTTTATTACACACAAGTAACTTTACATCATGATAAAAATGTATATCACGACATGATAATTTTTGCTGGAAACGAGGCTGTTAAGATACCAAAACGTTAGATACCAGAGAAATTTCACAATTCTCCAAACTAATTTTGACACCAAATATATATATTTTTTCAGTTATTAAAAAGTAATGACGTTCAATTATTTGACTATTTTTGCTGTTATTATTATTAACAGTTTATCAGGTCAAAGAAATGACATTATGTTAGGTGCGTTTTCAATTTGTTGTGGATATCCGAAAGTAAAACTAGATGAGATTTAGAATTTTATTTTACTGATTATTTGATTAGGTTGCCAAAAGTTAAAGGAACACTCCACTATTTTTGAAAATAGGCTCATTTTCCATCTCCCCTAGAGTTAAACAGTTGAGTTTTACTGTTTTCGAATCCATTCAGCCGATCTCCGGGTCTGGCGGTAGCACTTTTAGCTGTAGCTTAGCATAGATCATTGAATCGGATTAGACCGTTAGCATCTCGCTCAAAAATGACCAAAGAGTTTCGATATTTTTCCTATTTAAAACTTGACTCTTCTGTAGTTACATCGTGTACTAAGACCGACGGAAAATGAAAAGCTGCGATTTTCTAGGCCGATATGGCTCGCTGCGTAATATCATTGGTTTAACTCTAGGGGAGTTGGAAAATGAACCTAATTTCAAAAATAGTGGAGTGTTCCTTTAATTCTAAAGCGGAGAGTTCCGGTGCTTGATTCTGATTGGCTGAGCCACGTTCGAAGCTGTTGCTCGGCAACCACAACTGTTTCTGAGGAACTACATTGTTTGTTGGAAGAATACTGTTTTTATTTATATCATTACACTTTATTTGCTCGGTTTTATTTTGTGAAACCTAACTACATATATGGAATAACCGTTTTATAAAAGCTTTGCGTCGTGCCTAACAATGCCCCTTAGCCGTTATAAATTCACTGTAAACCACGGCTTATTGCTTTATTTATTTATTAAAACATAAATGTGAATTACAAACTAAAAATAGTCATGTTTATTTTCAAGATGGTAACGGGACACCAGTTTCCTTGATGATCTGTTAAGTCGTTCACCTTGTTTTAAGTGACTGAACTCGTGATCAAACGTGTTTGGTAAGTTGCTAATGAGTACCTGAGAAACATGTTTGTTAAGACTGACATCATACATACCCATTGCGACAGGAATGTCCGTCCAGTTAAGGGCACATTTCTGAGTGCAGACGCCTTCTTCGTTCAAAACAACCGTGAGGTCATCCTGACCCACTGCGACCTTCCCATCAGCCAGCGGGGCCACCAATGGCTCCAGCTGTTTCCCTGTGGGGAACAGTTCTTTGACTGAGCCACGTCCATCCATCTAAAGAGAAAAGTCACATGACTGACCCCAAAAAAACATGTGTGTATGAGCATCCATATTGTGATACAGTTAGCTGCAGAATTTGAGAGAAAATCTGGTCTCGGGCTCTGATGGCAATGCCACAGTCTGTTCACTGTCCACCTGATATATACTGTCCGCTGTTGTATTGATGCTACCTAACATAGACAGTCTTCTGGCAAAACTGCAAACTACACATTCATAAGCAGAACTACATTTGTTTGACTTACCCGGATCAGATAGTAGTCTCGCTTGAAACCCACACATATGGAGTTCTCACACCAAGCCATGGACTTGGGAATGTCTGGAGCAGCGAAATCCCCCTGCAATAGTGAATAAACATGATTTAGGCTAACATTATGGCTTACCAGCAATCTTTCATTTCTGTGTTTCCAAGCCTCAAGACCTGTAATTCATGGAATTCTCTGTCCTTCCAGTAATACAGCTGAATTTTCCTCTTGACTGCAACACACATGCGCAGTTTGGCCTCACCTGAGCTAGACTGCTGAAGAAAGAGAGAGAGAGACAAAAATAAAAATAAGAAATCAGATTTGATCGCTAGGTCAAAGCATTAACGAACAATTGCAATCACTTGCCATTCTTTAACCTACCTGCAGGTCACAGGCAAACAGTGAGGCTCCTCTGGCTTTGGACACAACAGTTATCTGCTGGAACGTGAGCAGGTCGTGAACGTGGATGTTATTTTCTGAAACAAAAGAAGGCAATGATACTGCTGACACTGAAACTACACAGTTCCTTAAGATGCTTTTCACTTACACCACACCAATTTGATCTAGGATACAAGTTCCTCAAATGCAAGCCACAAATGAACACATCATATTACAATAACTACATTTACATGCACCCTCATAATGTGATTATATCGCGATTAACAATTACCTCATGTAAACCCAATACTTTGATCACATTCATGCGTTTGAGCTCATAGTCAGAGTAAATTATGCGGCATATGCCAATTTTAAATCGCAATAAACAGGCATGTAAACACCTCTAATCACATCTATACCACTCTTGACTAAAGTGTGCATGTGCTTGAATGAAGTTTCCCTCCACTCCAAATTGCTGAACTCTGTCAACAAAACATGCTGCCACCAGTCTCTGCTGAATCTTCATTCAGAAAATAATGCAATGGTCAGTATAGGCAAACCCAGTTACAGCAGCATTGCTATCACATGTTCATCAATGCCCCTAAAGAAATGTGGCCAGTAACACACCTACTGCATGCAAGTTCATCATTTGTGCTGTGCATCGGGGTATGTGAATAATGGTGGCAAATATAACCACACTTCTTAGCGAATAATCAGAATAATGAAAATCACATGCAAACGGGAGGTTTGTTTGTGTCATGCAAACATTTCACTGGGAGTCATTCCTTTTCATTATTGGACATAATCACATTATTGGTGCACATGTAAACCGAAGGATCGGAGTAGTCTTTGACTAAACAAATCTGGAAAACATACTTACCCAACAAACTAATCAAAATCTTGTACTGTGACACCACAAAAAGCTGAGAGGAAACAGAAAAACAAATATTAGAAGCAGCAATCAACACTTGTTCCTTTAAAGATAGCTCACCACATTCATTCTGTCATTATTATTCCACCCTCATGACGTATGCAAATAAAAAATACAAAAATAATTATAATAATATTTTTGAAGAACCTTCATGCAGTTTGCCCATAAACTCAAACTCAAAAAAAGACCAAAGAACACCATAGTCAAATCATATGACAGCTCTGTGTGGGAAACAGGTATAACATTAAGTATTATCCATGGATGACATAATAGAACAACATAATGGCGTGTAAATAATGACAACATTTGGCTGAACTAATCCTTTAATTGGATGGACTTCTCTATCTGTTCATACCTGCTGAATCTTCTTTGAGAAGTTCTTATTGGATTTCTCTAATGTAACTTCAAACCTGTTTGTACCTGTGAATAAAATGTATTATTAATTATATTATTATTAAAAGGCATTGCCACTTCAGCTTAAAAATAAACTCCACAAATGACTGAAGCTATAAGCACAGGTGCAAACATAAACTATGCACCTGCATCTTTCTTGATCCTGTACAGAAGGAGATGGCCTGGTTTGGTCCCCACAAGCAGCCAGTCATCTGGAAACACAGTATGATTATCACACATCAGTGACACATGGCAACGTTTTAAAAATGAGTTCATCAAGTCAAGTCTGCTTTATTGTCAATTCTTCCACATGTACAGCACATACACACAGAGAATTGAAATTGCGTTACTCTCAGACCCAACTATACAAATAAGGTCAAACGTAAAAATATATATAAAGCAGAACAAGGCACATGGCAGATAGAGTGCAAACCAGTGAAGTAGACAACAGTGCAGATATAATGATTTGTAGTGCAAAGAGCTTATTCAGACTGATTAAAGTGACAGTGTGTGTGTGTGTGTATTTGGGAGGGGGGAGTGGGAGAGTCCATCAGAGGGTCAGAGTTCAGTGGTGCGTGGGGCAAAAGAGGGGAGGGGGGGCAAGGTCGGGAGGGAGTTCAGCTTCCTGACAGCCTGATGGATGAAGCATCCAGCATGAAAAATTCATAGTAGTACAAACAAAATTAAGAGGGTCAGCTCTAGTGGTCCAAAAATTCTAAAATTGCTTGACTATTTTTATTTATATATCAATACATTTTTTACCTCCATGTATTGGTTTTGCAAAATCACAGTTTTTTGTGTCATTTTATTCATGTATTTATTAAGTTGGCTTGAGAAAGCAAAAAAAATTAATAAATAAAATCACAAACTGAAGCCAAAATTCAAATGAAAACAAACTGGAGCCCATTAGACTCTATCAGACTTCCCTTCCATGTACTATTTCTAATCCATTCAAACTTATCTATCTAATATTTCTAATCTATCTATCCTAGCGACATGCTAACATGCTAGAAACATACTATTGGTGCGTTCAAGTCATGTTGGATAGATTGTATTTACGAGTTGAACACATGAACGCCACCACAAAGTTGTTATTACGAGTGGGAAACTACATTTTTTTCAGAGTCCAGAGTTTCAGAGTTGGGGGCGACACACATGAGAAAACGTGTCGGATGCAATGGACGCATCCAAAGACTAGATATGCAGCATCTGTATTGATGGTAAATTTGTTGAAATTAATAAAATGATAATTGTTTTGTAATGTAAAATAAAACTTTGTTACATCTACAAAATATTATATTATTGTATAATTACCAAAGAACATAATGATTCAGTTCACATCACCTTCATAAATTGAATAAAAACAGAAAAAAGCAAAAACACAATGACGCACATTCTTTATTCATCATTTTGTAGATGTAAAGTTTAAAAAAATCGTTGAATTTTATGGAAAAAAAGTTCAATCGCCATATTGTTCCGACCAAAGTGACTTACCTGACGTCGTTATTACGACTTGTCAACTCGTAAGTACAAACGTCCCAGGAGGACTTGAACGCAGCATAACAACATGCTAGTAACCTGCCAATCATGCTAGCAACATGCTAGTAGCATGCTAATCATGCTAGCAAGTAACATGGTAATCATGCTAGAAACATGCTAGTAACTTGCTGATCATGCTAGAAACATGCTAGTCACCTGCCAATCATGCTAGCAACATGCTAGTAGCATGCTAATCATGCTAGCAAGTAACATGGTAATCATGCTAGAAACATGCTAGTAACTTGCTGATCATGCTAGAAACATGCTAGTCACCTGCCAATCATGCTAGCAGCATGCTAGTCACCTGCCAATCATGCTAGCAGCATGCTAGTCACCTGCCAATCATGCTAGTCACTTGCTAATCATGCTAACAACTAGGGCTGGGCCAAAAAATCAAATGCGATTTTCATGCAAATCTCGTCAGTAAAGTCGCTTCTGGTGATTAGTAGTAAATCTCTGCTGAAGACAACTAACAACATGCTAGTAGCATGCTAATCATGCTAGAAACATGCTAGCAACATGCTATTAACTTGCTAATCATGCTAATTACATGCTAGTCACTTGTTAATCATGCTAGCAACATGTTAGTAACTTGTTAATCATGCTAGCATCATGCTAGAAACTTGCTAATCATGCTACAAACATGCTAGCAACATGCTAGTAACGTGCTAATCTTTGTTGTAGCATGGTGTGGTATTTGGGCAACTCTGGTAACGCTGCCCTCTCATTCTGTGCCGCGACTGAAGAAAGGTTGGGAACCACTGGTCTAGAGCACATTTCAAGGTACATGTATGTGAACATACAGAAATATTTAGCAGATTTAAATGTCATGCAATGATTGCTCAGTTTCACTTTTACACTGGACAACTTGAGATGAATTGACCCAAGAGTCCTTTAGATGGCTCTAATAATCACACACCCTCAATATGTACCTCATAAACCTCACATATGTGGAATTAACACTTGGTTTAACTGTACTTTACTGAGCTTTCATTTCCCTTATACTTGCTTGATTGAATCTAATCTAAACATGTACAATAATACTACATGTTCAACACATTGTAAGCTGCCTAACTCATAAAATAACTCTTGTTCTTCAGAATAGTTGTCTTTTCTCCAGCTATGACTCAAAACCAGTTGTTTTGGACATCACAGGCCTGTTTCTAAGTCAGCTGACCAGCTTCTTTTTTTTTTTTTTTGATAGGCAGCTCAGCTCATCAGGTTGTGATACATAACCAGAGAAAGGTCATTTGATCATTACAGACTTGTGCCGGTATTCGGTAATGCGATATATCACGGTAATGAATATGCACGGTATTGTTATCGTGGGCTCTTCTAAATACCGTGAATAATTATATATTACAAGTTATTCAGAATTTTGAATGCATTTTAAGAATACTTTTCCCATCAACTGGTCAAAATGCACAACACCGCTGCATGCTGCGCGAAAGAGGCGTGCGCACTCTGATGTAAACAAGTAAATGATTTAAACAGCCATTCAGATTTGTGTATTTGCTCTGATGTTCATCACAGCGCCAAATACTTACATATGTAGACTTAATAGGCTATTTATTTTCAAACCTTTTTTTACATTTTAATCTGGACTACAACATGCCCTAGATATTGTTTGAAAGTGTTCTTCTTTATTGTTCGGTCACACTTTACATCAGGGCTTCATTAGTTAACATTAGTTAATTCATTAGTTAACATAAACTGCCAATGAATAATTCTTCTCAACATCTTAGGTATTCCTATATTTAATAACACATTGTTAAAATCGAAAGTTGCAACTGTGTTATTTAACAAGCTAACATGAACTAAGACTTAACTAATAATTAATCACTTCTGTAGCAAACGTAGCTATTGCGGATTGTGAATGTTAATGCATTAACTAAGGCTAATGAGGTCTTATTGCAAAGGGATACCTATTGGTCTTTATAGTTCTTCTGCACTTTAATCTGTGTAAAACTTTTAGCTTTATACATTTTTCTGTATTGCTTTATTGCATTTAAATGTTCAGTTATTTTTGTTATAAGAAAAAAGCTATTAAACCTGTTAAACTGTATTATGACGGCACTTAAAAAAAAAACTAAATTCCAATACCGCGATAATACCGCGATAACAGCATTAGCAATTAATCGCAACATGAAAATTTGATCCCGGCATATCTCTATATTCAACTATTCGATCCATATTGCTCAATAAAATCTGTCTAGGTAGCAATACTCACTAGACGCCCATACATAGTATGTAGCCAGCTAAACAGATTTTGACACACAGCCAAAGAGACTGCTCATGAGAGTTGAAGGAAAGGGAAGCAGAACTCACCCCAGGCCGCCAGACAGTCAATCTGGAGGGGTAATTTCTCCAGGATAGGAACTGGCTCGTATGCATCATGCATACTGGAGCTCTTATGCACGACCAAACACACTTAAAGAAATACCCCACAATGCTAAGATAAGACACACGACCACAGTACAATCTGCTGGCAGCTGACAGAACAACTGTAAACAACCCCACCACTACACAACAGTTATAAAGAGCGTTCACGTCTTTGTTAACCAGCTCGACTCTCGTCAAAAGTCCCAGAATTGTCCCACTCCATCCTTCTCGAGTCCAAAAATAAGCGAGGAAACACTGAGTGTTTTGCTGTGTTGTTAATGTGTCATGAGCAGTTGGCTAGTATATAGCTTTCATATTCTGCCCTTTAATCTTGCTAAAACACAGATCCTCGATGCTCGGATTCCAACTGGGTTTCATCCCATTGTCCTGCGCGATGCTGGGGTTTGCTGTCGGCTGTTTAGAGCTGATATCGGCCAGGACTCGGTGTTTGACAGCCAGCAGAGAGAGAGCTATTAGAGCTGCGGGAACTCCGTGACCAGCACGTGACTGCCGCTGTGTCTCATTCAGAAGGCTGCACCCTCTGTAGGACGCATATACGAAGTGTCCTCAACCTAGAATTAAACGAGACGGCCTCCGTAGGTCGGGCGGAAAAGGAAACCGGAAGTATCGCGTTGCTATGCCAACACATTTAGAGCATCGTTGCGCTCTCACACTACTTAAATGAAGGGAAATTATTTCTAAATTTGGAAAGTAATTTGAACAGTAATGTTGTTCAATGTTTGAGGAGCTGCAGCGTACCTACAGCAGGCATCTATTAGAGAGAAAAAAAGGAGGAGGATATTAAAAACAAAGTTTATCCGTTTTTACCGAGGCGAATTAAGGTAAGTTGTAAACACCACATCTGCCGGCGCCGGCATTTTTCAAATTAACAACGGTTGTTCACGGCGACGCAAAGAATTGTGGGTTATCTGTAGCAGCGAAGGATATCTGACACACCTCATGCATCCTCCGAAATCCTGTGACACAAGGTCGCAGCCTTCTAAATGAGACACAGCTTGCGAGAGCTCACAAGCAGAATTTTCTTGCTTAGTTCTTCTTCTTCTTGGTGTTTAATGGTGGATGGCATACAACTTTTAGGTGCATTACCGCCACCTACTGATTAGGAGTGTGGATCAGTACCGTACTCTTCACTAAATTCTATTATATAATGTCCTTTAAATAACGCATTAAAAATTGAAAGTTTTTATCCCCTTATTTATTCCCCAAAATGTTCATCAAATTAAGTTTTTCTTTATTTTCCTTGAGGACATCCATCAGTATCTTTCTTTCCTTTCCGTATCTTGGACACTTCATTATAACATGCTCTACATTTTCCTCCATATTACAATATTCACATTTTCCAGTTTCATGTCTCCCCATTCTCTTCAAACTGCTATTAAGAGCAGTATGGCCAAATCTAAGCCTTGAGATTATAGTTTCCTCACGTCTATTTCTTCCTGTTATTCTGTACTTACCAACAATTCTTTGAATGCTATAAAACCATCTCCCTGTTCTTTCTTCTTCCCAATATTTCTGCCATCTGTTGCTTGATTACACACTTCATTTCACTCTTACCATACTTTAAATGCATATCTATGTCTACTTTCTTTGTTGCTTCCTTTGCATATTCGTGTGCGAACTCATTTCCTTTAACTCCCATATGCGCTGGTACCCAACAGAAAGCTACTTAAATTCCCATCATCTGGATCCTATATATTGCTTGAAGAATCTCAATCATTACAGGTGCATCTCAATATATTAGAATGACGTGGAAAAGTTCATTTATTTCAGTAATTCAACTCAAATTGTGAAACTCGTGTATTAAATAAATTCAATGCACACAGACTGAAGTAGTTGAAGTCTTTGGTTCTTTTAATTGTGATGATTTTGGCTCACATTTAACAAAAACCCACCAATTCACTATCTCAACAAATTAGAATACTTCATAAGACCAATAAAAAACATTTTTACTTCATTTCACTCTTACCATACTTTAAATGCATATCTATGTCTACTTTCTTTGTTGCTTCCTTTGCATATTCGTAAACATGATACTCTTTCTATATCTTGACCATATAATTAAAATTTTACCTCTTTACTAATCCTACATTTTGAAAAGAATAATTTTTTAGTTTTTTCAACAGAGAATCTAAAACCCCACTTATATGACCACCTTTCTACTTCTGTTATTGCTTCTTGCACTTTCCTTACAACAAACTCTAAATTCCTCCCTCGTTTCCAGATTGCACAATCATCTGCATAAAGAGAAATTCCTATTCCCTTTTCAACACTTAAAAACACATCATTAACCATAATAGAAAATAATAAAGGACTAATTATACTCCCTTGTGGTGTTCCATTTTCTACCTTTATTATCTCTGAAAATTCTTTCCCAATCTTTACTTGAATAGCCCTCTTGTCCTTTCCTCCCTTCTTCGTTAACATTATCCGAACTATGGATTTTGTCAAATGTTTTTATGATCATTTCCGGTTTCTCCTTCTCTGTCACAGCTGTGCCTTCATTATTGATTAATGTAGGATATCTAACCTCTCTCCTAATTCCATTCATTTTCCTTATTATGCCCCATACTTTATAAATATCTGTTTCTCTTCCCACTGACTCACAAAATGATCTCCAATATTCCCTTTTTGCTGTTTTAATAGTTCTTCTTACCTTTGCCCGCATCTTTTTAAACTTGATTAAATCTTCAAAATTGTGTGTTCTTTTAAGTATTTTAAAAACTTTGTTCCTTTCTTTTATTACTTTCCCACATTCTTCCGTCCACCATGGGACTATCTTCTTTCTCCTATTCCCTAAACTTCTTGGAATTGATTGTTTTGCTGCTTCTATTATACCTCCACAAACTACTCGATTTAATTCCTCTATTTCCTCATCACTATTAATTACTCCCATCATTTCATCACTTATCTCCCTGAATTTCACCCAATCTGCTTTACTAAATACCCATCTTTCTGACCCACTTGACTCATTTATTTCATTTCTTATACCTATTTCTATAAAAATTGGATAATGATCACTTCCTAACGTACTATCTTTCTTAACTTCCCACCAACATAATCCTGCTATAGCTTCCGATACAACTGTAATATCAACTGCCGTTTCCTTCCCATTTACCACATTTATTCTAGTACCATCTCCATTGTTTACACACACTACATTTTTTAGTTCCATTAAGTCCTCTATTACTTCCCCATTTGAATCATTATAACTATCCCACAACGTATTATGCCCATTAAAATCTCCACAACAAATAACCTTATCCCCTAAATTTATTGCAAGTTCCTCTATGTTTTCCAATGTTATTTTCTTACACGGATTATAATAATTTACTATTTTAATATTTCCTCATTTAAACAAAAATACAGTGAAAGTCAATGAGGTCCATCAGCTGGACCTACGCACGTTCTTCAAAATATCTTATTCTATGTTCAGCAGAAGAAAGAAAATCATACAGCTTGTGAGTGAGTAAATTATGACAATTTACATTTTTGCATGAACTATCCCATTAAATGTTCTGACAAACAGAAATGGATTTTGAAGCATTCATTTTGGTACACAATCACTATCACTTTTTGTGATATTCAGAGATTATAGTTATTTGTTGTTGTGATATTTACAAAGCCACTGAATTATTTAGACTGCATGGGTGGAACTCCTGTTGAGGCAATAAACTCAAAATATAACACATTCTGATTTGTACTTGGATTGGCAGCCGTTTTCATTTTACTCAGGGAGGTGGAGCACGGAGCACAATAAACCAATCTGGGGCAAGTTCAAACTCAAACCGGTGTGCAACGTTTTGCTACGGTTTCCGGGTTGAACGACATGTTTCCTGGAAACGGTGTGCAACGGGGTTTGAGATACGTTTTCTCTTGTTTGGTAGGTGTCAAAAATGTCAGCCCAATCAGCAGCAACATGTATATAAACCACGCGGTCTTTTCATCCTGAAATGCGAGGCAAACGTTGGATCACAATAATTAGGAACCACAGTCTATTGGGATGTTCTCTTTTATTCTGGACGGCAAGGGCAGTGACTGTAACATCGAGCGTATTTTGCTGTATTAAACACGTATTTATACCGATTTCATCAGGCTCCGAAAATTCTTCAAAAAGAACACAAAGAATGGTCTTCTCAGCTGCCATAGTTGCAACTCTTGCGTCATCAGAACAAGGTGTTCAACGCACCACCGTTTAAAATACGTTTTGCACCGTTTTGTCGGGGCTGAACGCAGCCCTGATTTCATCTGTCCAGAGTGCTGGAGATGGTACAGTCTGTTTCCGACCGCTGTGTGAACTGTTCAAGAGACTAATGACACACACACACACACACACTCTGAAGATGCCCCTATACACACCTGTTCAGCCCGAGACAAACATGATGAATGCAGAAATGAAAACCATCCTGCCACAGGGCTGCTGCTCATTATTGGTATAAGTGAAGCTTTTATCTAGAATACTGAGTCTTAATATTGGCCAGTTTTATAGATCAGCATTTAACCTGAGAACAAAAAAACATCAGTGTTCTCTCTCTCTTTGATATGCATTTTTTGGTTAATTTGACTATGAAAAGTCATGAATGTTAAGATATATAGCAATTATATATTGCAATATGCATATTATAAATACAATATATTATAAATATTACAGCAGTTGTAAATCCAGCTGACATTAGCTTATTAGTGCAGTTTGAAATATAGATACTTTAACATGTTGCTGGTCCCTATGATTTGCACGTCCCTCCGAAGGGAGAAGAAGCTCGTCGGCTTTGGTTAAAAGCCTTAAACTTAAAGAAACCACCGAAATTTCCGTATGTTTGCTCTTTCCACTTCGTTGATGGCAGACCCACGGAAAATCATCCATTCCCCAAGAAACAATGCTCCAGTGAAGACTCTGAGGCGACGTCTCGTCAGGATATAGACAGATAGAGCAGTTTCTCCTGAGCATCTGAAGGACTTCAGTGTTGTGTTTTGCAGATGATGAGCAGGGTGACCATGAGACCGCACAAACGGAGCCATTGCAGCTGCCCCTTCAGTACAGTGATGCCTGCACTCAGTGGGAGCTCCAGGCATTGACAGACCACACTTATGCCTCCCGGGATAAAATAATGTTACACAAGGCAACACAGTTCCACAGTGAAGATCCCTTAGCCCTTGCCATTCTCAAGAATGACACTAGCTCTTTATTGTGCACTGGCTTCACCCTTAGGCCCAATCCCAATTCTACCCCTTTCCCCTACCCCTCCGTTTCGCGCGTTCACGTGAAGGGGTACA